GACAGACTGCAATAAGTATAGACAGACTGCAATAAGTATAGACAGACTGCAATAAGTATAGACAGACTGCAATAAGTATAGACAGACTGCAATAAGTATAGACAGACTGCAATAAGTATAGACAGACTGCAATAAGTATAGACAGACTGCAATAAGTATAGACAGACTGCAATAAGTATAGACAGACTGCAATAAGTATAGACAGACTGCAATAAGTATAGACAGACTTCTAGCTCTTACGCTTAGGTTGAGATATCGTCAAGTGGTAACTCTGTGGCGAGTGAAAGCAACTCTAGTCCTTTGCTGGATTGCTTGCATCATAAGTGGAATAACAAACCACTTTATCCTTCCTGTTTATTCGATAATCAGTTGCATTGGTGTAGTTTTTTCGATGGTGACCTCTACTTTCTGCTACATTGCAATTTACACAAAGCTCCGCCGTCAAAAAGCTCAATTGCAGGACCACAAACATCCTGAACAGCCTAACAAAGGTAGAAGTCAAGTGAACGCAGAAAGATACAAAAAGACGGTTAGCACTGCTCTCTGGTTTCATTTTACCTTGGTGGTTTCGTGTCTTCCATATGGTATAGTAATAGCTATTCGTGGAGCTGGCACTGAATCGAGGCGAGCCACTCTTACTGTTTTGCATTTAGGGACTTCCTTTGTTACGTTAAACTCTGCACTCAACCCAGTCTTCTATGCTTGGAAAATTCAAGAAGTAAGACATGCCGTGAAAGAGACGATTAAACAGTTGTATTGCTGGTCGGATTAGCAGTGTCTGAAAATTTTAAAACACTCAACTTCAAATTCACAAAGACCTTTACACAAGCATTCACGTCAACACGAGTCAGTTATTTCGCGCGCTTTTATTGGTCTTTTAAGCAGGACCTACTGTAACGCTTTTTTTGATGCCAAAACCTCTCGTTATTCGTCGTGAATTTGAAGACTTCAGTGTGCAGATGAAAGTTGGAATCCTTTCTTCTCGTTTAAGTGTGAAACGTGCTTACGACTCGACGGTAATTATTAATCTAGTTCCCTAAATACCACGTTTGCATTCAAGATTATGGTTTTGTTGAGTTTGCTGTAAACGTGCTTATTTGGGGCTGGTAAGTGTGTTTTATCGTGAAGTCCTTGTTAGAGTTCAAGGTTTTATTCTGAACTTAAGGCAGAATACGTGCACGACACAAACTCGAATCTCGAATGTAGTCAACTGGACTCGGAATCGGGATGTGAGGGCTCGAGTCTGGACTGGTTCATTGTGCCATGTCCCTGTACAAGTCACCACACTCTTTCCCAAGCAATTCTCTGAGCTTCATGCGCGAAGACTTCGAAAGAATGATTAAAATTGACATTAAGCAAATATCAACTCAATTAAATTGTTAGTCGTACGTTTTCTTAGCTGAGCAGTCGGTATTTCCAAATAGTATTGCATCGAGATGGAGGAGCTGTGGTAACTGCTAGTGAAACTTTTGGCAGGTTTATGTTATCAAGAGGAAAATTTTTAAAAGGTGAAACACAACACTTGTTTAATTTTGTTTTTACGTGGATTTGCGTTGTTTCGTTCTGTTTAATTTTTGTTTGTTTTTACAATTGATCATAACTCATCTCCTTTCTCTTTAAATAAAGAGGGCGATTGCGTATTTGAGCGAGACGTTGTGGGAAGGAGTAGCGCACCTTTACATCCGTTTCTCAAAAATATGAAGGTGGCTAACAAGCCACAAAGAAGTTAAAGGTACCTTGAAGATTTTTGAAAAGTCGGATACCAAAAAAAGGTTTACTTCTCTCTTTTTTTTCTCTTTTGTTTTTTCTTACCTTCTATGCGCTCAGGACTGAATCTTCCAGGCAAACAAAACATTACATTTTTCTCAAAATCTTTCATTATCTACAGCAACACCGTAAGGGCGGCGACAGCTGGTTTTATTTTGATTCCTGCCTTTGATAAAGTCGTTTTTCCTTCGTCTATACAGTTAACATATCTTTCTCAAATTGTTTGTGATATACGTACATTTTTCAGAGATAAAAACAATAATATCAAATGCTCATCTTTGAGTTGAATTAAAAACCAAAAGATGGAAACTTAAAAGCTACGCTTCAAAAATTTGCAATATCACTGTCATCATCCGAATCATCGCCAGATATCGTGATTTCAATCTCGTCGTCATCATCATCCTCCTCCTCGTCGTCATCATCATCATTCTCATCATCATCGTCATCGACATCGTCATCTTCCTCGCCACCTTCGTCGGATTCCTAAGTAAAAACAGCAACGAGTTGTAATTTTGGTAACCTATATCAAACACGTGCCGCAGTAAGTGATGTGTTCTGAAGTATGCTCCAAAAGTCCTTTTAATATGGTGGCGCATTAGTCTACAGCCAGTCATATTGTAGGTTTTTGTCTGCAAATAAGACACGGGCAATCACAAAACCGAATTCGCATCCAAGATGGCGGTGTTACTTGTCGAATCCAGCTCCATGATTGGTCCGTTCCTTACTTGCAAATGATGATTGAGGTGAAAATCCTTGACATCCGCTTACCTGCTCGTCCTCGTCATCAGCTCTACGCATCCGCCCGACTTCGTACACACGGCAAACGCTCTCGTCTGTGCTGGCCTGGTTCTAAAAAGAACGTCACCGAATTTATATGAAATAATGTGAACTGTTGACATGCTGACAAGATCTCTGCAGTGATATCTTGCAACTTATGCAGTCGAAAAATGTCAAGTTAAGTCAGTCAGATGGCCCATATTGCTAAAGTTTCTCCCGGTTATCGTAGCGTGAGGCAGCTGGGATTACTGCTGGCTGCTAGGTTCCTAGGATTTGGATTTAGGGTGGAAAGTGGAGAAAGATGGGGGGCGTGGGGGGGGAGGGGAAAAGGAACGAGGAAAGGCAAAAAAACGCCTGCCCGAAAAGTTGTTAAAAGGCGAAACAACTCCTGATGAGTTGTGCGTCACTGCATGTCCGAAATGAGCAAGTAACTGGAAGCGCTTTCTTACGACAACAACAGACACACGTAGAGCCAAGGAGTAAAACTGTGAGGCAATTTTCCCTGAAAAGAAAGAAACGGCTTCGACAAAACCTTCTCTGCGGTCTCAAATATGCGCTGATATTTGTTGCATTGTATATTCCTTGAGTGTAGCTGCCGTTAATCCATTGACGATGTTTCTTCCATTTGATCGTAAACGATAAAGCGGAAAAACAACAGCACTCGAAGGTTTACCCGCCCAAATTCGTTTTAGTGCGATCCAGCATCTGAACTACAGTCGAATCTGTATCAAGCGGGGAATGGGAAATAATGAACATAAAAACACCAATATATCCCTTGAATGACTTCTTAACAAACCCTAAGAAATACTACTGAGTGATCGTTAAATACAGGGTAGTGGACAATACAAACAGGCCGTTGGGACGACCTTTTTTCGAAGGCTTTATTATCGCGAACTCGGAATGAAACGCCAAAAATACGTAGTAAATAGACGATAGACACTTGAAGAAACAAGACGAGGATATAAAAAGCCGGTTCTCGATCAAGATTGCAAAGATTAAGTCGAATAACATTGCACACACGCTGGGCTTTCTCTTTCTCTAATACAGAAAATACTGAGAAAGGCCACTACTCTCGCTATGTATCAGGGTTGACCGTGGCCCTTTAATGACCTCGGGCAGACGTAATATTCATTAACCCACCCCTCCCCCCTCTTTTTGACCATCGCTCACCCCCGATTGGTACAACTTTCGTTCTCTACCCAGCCATCAGGCAGCTATAACGTTCATCAAGATAATATCGAGCACTCGCTCGCAAAATTAGCAGGCTGCCAGTTCCCCAAGATAGAACGCTGGATTGTCGTAAAGTTTCTCTCCCCCCCCCCAATTTCGTCAAGCTTCCCTAACAGTTTGCCGGTACCCATCAGTATTCAAGTGGGAGGAGGTACCTGCCGCTACACATTTGTGACAGGTCAATCTGTCGGCTGAGGTCTAACGATCGAGGCCAACTGAAATTATTCATCGAAAGAAATCATAAGAAGAGAGAAGAGAAAAGAGCAAAAAATAGAGAAAAGGAAGGTAAAGGGAGGTAAACAAAAAAAGGAGGGAGGGGAGGGAGAGGAAGGGACTGAAAGAAGAAGGATGGAAGGAAGGAAAAGAAAAGAAGACCGAGGCTTCCGATTTAAAAGCTCACCTCAATAACGGCTACAAAGCTGTCAGTTATATCAGTACACAAATCAAATATTGTCTTCTTTACGTCGATTGTAGCTGTGTAAAGCAATGAAAAAATTTCAGTATCCTTTACACACTCATTTCGCAAGCGTCAAGATATTTAAAAGTTAACTGATGACAAGCGTAAAACTCTGTTCTATTAAAATTTGTAGCCTGTCCTTCAGCTCACCTATTGGTTGGTAATCTGTTGCGTCAAAGGTCCTGAACGAGGTCTCGTACGGTCCAAGGAGCCTGGAGGCTAGGGGTATTTCCAAAGGATCCGAAATGTGTTTTACTGTATAGTACGGAAGAACACATACTCCCTTAATACCACATTTCATCATTAGCGAGATATCAGAGGCTCTGAGAAAAATTTTCGCAAAAAATAAGTTTGAAGTAACGGGTTGCACAAGAGACCCAGAGCTCCATCACTTTTCCAAACACCGCAAAAGTAGCTAAAACTTTGATGCAAAGTGGAATAATTGTTTACACAGTTTTAGATGTTCACCATCCCGGGTGAACATTCTCTGCTCTTAATTGCAATTGAAATATCGAGAAACGAATATATCACATCATAAAGCTAATGACCTGGACGCATTACAACCACAGTATCCAGTCTGATTTATTTTGTGAAAACTTAACAAAGTACCAACGAATTTGAGAGGTAAACATGACCTTACCTCCATACATGACGTCACCAATATTGTTGAAGATCACGTGACACTGATCTAATGAAGGACATGTGTCCAGTAAATGGAAAGACCGAAGATCCCACTTGGTAGTGTCAAGGATTATCGGCAAAAAGAAAGCAAATTGTTCATTTGTAATGAGTCGCTGAAGAGATTCTAGGGGGGAGGGAAGGGGGGTTGAGCATCTCAAGAAACTGTAGTACTGCGTCGGTTGAGGAGGGGTTAGGGTTGGGGGTATAGCTTTAGTTCACTGGCTTGATAATGTAAATTGGCTGTCCATGGACTTTTCTTATGAGATGATAGTCCTTCATATCTATCTTTCTCCTAATTGACTGTCAAACTGAGCAGAGGGATCGAGATCCGTGAAAGGAAACCTGTGTGTCCCATTATTTTTCGTGAAACGTGATAAGGACAAATGCTTTACAGTGGAGCATTGGTTGTTTCAAAACACGAAAAGGATACAATCTCTGAGTTGATTATAATCTCCAGCCCAGATGGATGAAACACGCCACTGACAAAGTTATTAAACTTGTCAAACTTATGTATAACCCGTTTCCCTTTAACATCCCATAATACTCCGTCATTAAGTACCAGGTCGTCCGTGGGATTGAAGGAGGCGAGGTTCTTTGAGTAGTTGTTAGTGTTGTTGCAATCGTGCAGAGTCAGAATCCGCTGACCCGTCGCAGTGTCGTATATCTGATAGTTGAAAATAAACTAGTTAACGATATCATCAGAACTTTACAGCATTGTATTGTTCAAATTATCAAGAGATAAAAAGGGAGTTTGGCAGAAAGGTACCACGAAACAAAACAAAAAACCCAAAACAAATCAGGAAAAACTCATACATTTCCGATAAAATATCGGTAAACTCTAGTTAGAGGGCTCACTCTCTGATTCCATCAACGATCTAACGATTAAATCTCGAGTTCGCTAATTAATATTTATACCTCTCACTAACCGTGTTCGACGTCTGCAATGAAAGTTACGGACTAAACTATTTCCACTCAGAATTATGGCCCAACTGCAACTTACATTACAGATCGAGAACTTCATGTATTTGGAAGTGAAAGTACATCATATGTATTAAACTCACGTGCGCAGTAGCGTCGTGTGTGCCAATAATTCTGTCTTCTGATAAATTACTAAACTTTACCCAAGTGTCTTCGCCAAATGGATGTCTGAGCCGTAAAGAAACAAAGTTACAAAATAAACAACGTTCTTATCAAATAGAGAAATAAATACATAGACGAGCCATTACATTCCGCCTACTGCCTCCGTGTGATTAACACCAATCCTTTTTTTATTTTATTTTGATCTTAAAGCATTGATTGCCACAACTGAATTAAGTTGGAATTATTTCTCGTCTCCAGTACTTTAATAGAATTATTTTGTCCAAGTGTCTTCCATAAAAGAGGTAGCTCTGTAAGAACAATGTAAAACGCCTCCTTGTCTCTCAGCGATCCTCTAGAAGACGAAAAGGAATGTAAAATATAGGGAAGTATGCGTTTGTTTTTGTTTCTATGACAAAAATTGTAGTTTGCTAAGGGTGAAATCAAAATAAACCGAGGAACGCTGAGACACAAACCAGAACGCAAGGACGTGTCTATCTAATGCAATGGTGGTACGAATCAAACAGTTTTTCAAGTTCAAAAACTTACTTGATTTCGAAAACGTCTCCAAATGACCAAAGGGCACATGGAGGGAAAGCAGAAGAAGATGACGTTAACAAAAGCTCGCGGTCCTGAAAAAAGAACAATGAAGTACAGAAAGACAATTTCAGTCCTAAATGAAGTCTTCAACACGGGCATGGATAGTCAGTTTTTAGTCTAAGAAACGTCCCTAACATCGCAAAACGCGCTTCAAAGCTGAATGTTGACAGGGTGCGGTGAACGATTTGTAAACTAAAGAATTAAAACGAGAACTTTACGTAGCTAGCCATCTAAGTGACTTAAGGAAAAATTGTAGGAGAAAGCACAACTGCCATTTTCGTGTATCTGTGGACCAGTCTCCAACACCCTTAACTACAAGTTAAATATCTGATAAATGCTAATATACAACACAAAAAGATAACAAATCGTTGAAAACGTTTGTACTGATACTTTCGACTCTGTTATCAGAAGAACTGAACCGTTTTTGTGCGTATTTGAGAACAGATGGTCTCTCTTTATATAGGCAGGAAAAACAAGTTTTTATGATGCACGTGTATTCTCACCTTTGAACATTGGCACATAGAAATTGCTCTGTCTGCGCTACAGAGGTACGTCGCCTCTTCCTGCAAAATATAATTTTTAAAAGAAATAAATGAAATACAAATAACCATGCAGACATGCACGGAGCGGTTTACATTTAAAAATAATAAAAACAAAAAAATGGGAATAAGCGTTATACACTTGACATGTAGATTGCATTGCATGCCCACATTATGACGTCAACATCCTTGACATAGGCCATATGCATTGTCCAAAAAAACTCGTCAGCATGTTTGCACTGGCATATTTTGCTATCCAAAATTGTTGTGTTATGGTCACTCTGAATTCAAAACAGTCGGTAAGTTCTATGGTATTTCGCGTGTATTGTAATTTTTCCGGCTTAAGGTGTAATTTCTGTCCGTAGAAAAACCTGACTAATTGCCTAATTCGATGCTTACTTGGCTTGTTACTGGGACATTCGCGGAGTTTTAAATGGAATACCTTTAAATTTATCGTTGCGTTTTCGCTTTCGAGTCTAACGCTTATGTGGTTCTGCGAACTACATAGTACGACAACTTACCTCAGTTGTTACAATCAATGTATAATTCATACACATACAACTACTGCGAGGAAAAGTTTGGCGTTTGACTTAAAATAAAAATGTGTAGATTAAGTTTCGTACCTGTCCAGTTATTAAGTTGTATTCCTTCAGTTCGCCTATTTGTGTTCCAAGTAAAACAGACTTGCCATCGGGCTGAGGAGAAAAAAACAAACAAAAAATTAGATACTACGTTTAAATGACTACATAAAAGCGAATACTTTATAGTACAAGACATAGTTTCCATTTTACTAACAGACAATCATAAAGGGTTCAAACCAAACCTTCTAACATCACCCTTTTAGGCCATGAGAATATAAGAAATGATCACCAGCTAAAGAAGCTCTTGATTGTTAAACAAATTCTCCTTGTCAGCACCTCAGAAAATGTATAAAGAACTGTACGAAGAATATGCATTCTGATGTTGAGGTGTGATGAGCTGGGCCCTCATATTTGTGAGTAGTAAATTTGATGATGTCTGAGGAATTGTGTTATAGTTCATTTATCGTGAAAAATTCCCAAATGTAAGTTCAACTATCAGTTTAAATCGGGTTTTAATCTTCTTCACTCTTGAGGACCAGTCGTTTTTTATCACTAGGAAGGGAGGGTGTGGTGGATTTTGGGGATCACATGATTTTCAAGGGGGGGGGGACGGACGGAGGGGAATCAGTCATCTCTAACAGAGTTTAAAGGAGCAACTATAGAAAACTGACTGCCAATGAGGGGGATCATTAGAATACTCCAGAGC